TGGCGTCACCAGGGCTCCCTCTGATCACACGTGGGACAGCGGGACCTGCTTGTGGTAGGAGGCCATGCTGGGCACCACCATCCTGCCTGCCAGCGCTGGGCTGGCCTCGCCATACACGGAAGCACCCACAGGCTTCCTGGCCCGAAAGCAGCGGGCTGTGAAGCGCCTCCAGGATTCAAGTGTCTTGCCAGACCAGATCCAGACACCAGAGGTGATGCCCACCACCAGGCACATGAAGTACTTCAGCATAAAAACGGCGTAGTCAGGTTTGGGGTGGTGGGGGTCCCCTGGGCAGGAGCAGTTCTGTGCCTGCTCCCATGCCTCCCGGTTGTGCTGCTCATAGATGTAGCAGGCGATGACGATGGTGGCAGGCACGGTGTAGAGCACAGTGAAGATGCCAATACGAATCATTAGCTTCTCCAGCTTGTCAGTCTTGGTGCCACCCTGCTTGATCACACTGCGGATGCGAAAGAGTGAGATGAAGCCAGCCAGCAGGAAGAGGCTACCGGTGAAGAGGTAAACCACTAGTGGTGCTAGCACAAAGCCCCGCAGGTTCTCCAGGCTCTGGTTGCCCACGTAGCAAACCCCTGCCACCGGGTCACCATCTACAGAGCTGAGTGCCAGTACAGCAATGGATTTGGCACTGGGGATGAGCCAGGCGGCCAGGTGGAAGTACTGTGCATAGCTAGCGATGGCCTCGTTGCCCCACTTCATGCCAGCTGCCAGGAACCAGGTGAGGGAAAGGATGACCCACCAGATGGAGCTGGCCATGCCAAAAAAGTAGAGGAGAAGGAAAACCACGGTGCAGAGGGCAGGGCCTGTGGTCTCATAGTGAATATGGTGGTGCTCCAGGTTGCAAGCCACGTTGGCATGCCCTGCCACCAGCCGCACAATGTAGCCCACAGAGACGAAGAGGTAGCAGGCAGAGAGGAAGATGATGGGACGCTCTGGGTACTTGAAACGCTCCATGTCAATGAGGAAGGTGGCAACAGTGGTGGAGGTGGAGAGGAAACAGAGGATGGACCAGAGGCCGATCCAGAAGGTGGCGAAGGTCTTTTCATCCTGGGTGAAGTAGGGCTGGTGGCAGGGGATGGCACAGTTGGGTACCTGCCCAGTCCTGATGCGGTTGTACAGTGGATGTGACTCCTTGGAGATGGGGATCAGGGGCTTTCTGCACTTGCAAGTCCTGCCGCAGTCCAGCCCTGAGGGGCGCTGCCCACCGAGTGGGGTCAGGTTTTTGGCCACATCCTTGGCCGGGCGCGTGGGCTTCCCGAAGAAAGGAGGCAGGGTGGTAGCTTCCGTGTTGTTGTATCCCATGCAGAGCACCTCGGTGTCCCCCAGCACTGGCAGGCTGTCGCAGTTCATCCTCTCAGGCCAGGCAAAACCATACTGCTGCATGATAGGCGAGCACCCAGCCTTGGCCCGCTCGCAGACGGAGCGGCAGGGGGGCAGCG